GACCAGGGGTAGCTAATTTCAACCACATTTATATTTAATTGCATGACTTTGCATTGTTTCATTACTTGCCTCAAAATAAATACATTTAATACTGTAAGTTGTATTGTTTTCGGACTTTGAAAACTAAATTATCTTTCGATCAACTCACGGACAGGAATATATTCCTTCAATTCTTCAAACGATAAAGAAGGTAAATTAATCAAATTAAAAAAACACTTTTTTTGTTGTTGTTGACAGAAATCATATTAATTTCGTAGCAATAAACATAAACTAATTTGTTGTTCTTAGGTAGAAAATTACATGAAACAAATAGAAAATTTGCTATCAATAAAAGGGTTGTCAATTTACTAATAGGGTTGTCAACTTAGGCCCTGTTCTTTTGAGTTTCTGGGCAGAGCAGAGCAGGGGTCAGCAGAGCAGAGCAGATTTCAGCAGAGCAAATCAGAGCAGAGCAGATTTCAGCAGAGCAGAGCAGATTTTAGCATTATTTTTATTAATATTAATACAACTATTATTATTATTATTATTATTATTATTATTATTATTATTATTATTATCTCAAAAACAAAAGTCATACAACCTACAATAAATTAGTGGAAAGCCGAAATACAATCTGGGCCCCCACTCCTCTAGCTATAGCAAATCCTACCCTAGTGAAGATATGAGCTGCAGCACGAGCCCCAATGTCTTGCGTCGTCGAGAACCTCTGAATCCGCTTCAGTAACGCAACAACCTCCTTCTCTAATTCCCCAAGCGAATAAAAGGAGAAGGGAATGAAACCATATCCAATCGCCTGACATCGAGCTTCATACTTAACCCGCTTCCGATGAGCAGCATCAGCCACAACCCGCCCAGGAATAAAGTCAGATAGCCCTGACTGTGTCAAAGGAGAAGACCCTGTCAAATCAACACAGACATCGCGACCACGATCCCATGAATAAAGTAACACATCCGCAGGTCTGAGGGCCTCGTCGTTCCCTCCAGCCAACCCAATGTCAACCTCCTTTCTCGCTGAAATCCCAGAACGATAGCAAACATCAACAAGGGTATCCCGAACAACATTATGCTGATGTTTAATACCCACAATACTAGCACAAGACACCGCGTGATCACCGAAAATATCTCCAGCAAAAACCCTCGAACAAGCAGAGCACGACGTCGAGACCGAGAACAATGGAACACCCTTTTATTATTATTATTATTATTATTATTATTATTATTATTATTATTATTATTATTATTATTATTATTATTATTTTTATTATTTTTATTATTATTATTATTTTTATTATTATTATTATTATTATTATTATTATTATTAATGTTGTTACTATTTAATTTAACTATTATTACTATCATTATCGCATTGTACTACCATTATTATTGTTATTATTATTATTATTATTATTATTATTGTTGGGCTGCATGCTTGCTTTTACCATACATCTATTCCTAATATGATGCACCATGCCCTCGTCTTTTACAATTTCTCTTGCCTTAACCCTACATCTTCCCCATTTAGCTTCGACCTTAAATCCTTTCATCAGTTTTCATCAATTTTACACTTCCATATTCAATTCAGATACAACTATATACAAGTAATATTTTTCTTCTCCACTCCTATATAACTTCCACTAGATTAATGGATAGATTTTCAACCCGCAACAATTACATATTTTTTGCTAAAACCCTTGTTGAGATTCCAATGGACAAAATTTGTTAATTTTTTCTTTCCCTTTTTTCTTTATACTTCTTAAAAAGGCTAGTTAGGGCATGTTCACATTTAATGAACTGAGCTGAGCTGAACTGAACTGAACTGAACTGATTGGAACTAAACTGAACTGGACCGAACTGATTGAAGTTGAACTAAACTAAGCTGAAAAGAATATTTTATGAGAGAGGGAAATTAGAAGCTGAACTGAACTGAACTGAACTGGATTAAACTGACTGAAGTTGAACTGAACTGAACTAAACTGATTGGAGCTGAATTGAACTGAAATTAAGCTGAACCGAACAGGCCCTTAGTATGCTACCGCTTGTTCACTTTAGACCTAGCCACACAAATTTGTTTTTAGACACTTTTCCAAAAGACTTCATACTAATGGTAGGAATTCTTCTCTTGACCACATAACTCATGGCCTCCCCGCCGACGAAACCATCTTGCATTGTCAATAATGATATTACCACGAAACTTACCGATTAGAGAAAAAAAAAAGGTAGGAGTGGAGATCATGTGGTTAAAGAAACATTATTTTAAAAAGGATTTTTTAGAAAATAACACCACAAAAAAGTCACTTTGATTACAAAACCACCAAAAAAAAACTTTAATTATAACACCACAAAAAAATTGAAAAATTTGATTTCACCAGCACCTAGTGGATGCCATCCAAAGAATCGTTTGTGGACCATGCCAAGTACACGTGTCATTTATATGTTGGTTTAAAAATAAATTAAAAAAGAAAAAAAATAAATTCTAAGTCAGCCACCAAGCCCACCACCAGCAACCCTACATTTCTCCAGCGGCACGACCCTCCACTACCGCCATGCAACACCAGCGTTCACCAGGTCACCCCCACCCTCAAAAAACCCTATCGATCACCAGACGCCGCAATTGACCCCAACCCGCAACCCCCTAAACCCTAGCAACCACCCAAACTGGCCACTAACGGTTAAAATCGGTCAAATTAGGGCATGAGTGGTCAAATTTAGCCCTAAATTGACCGATCTGAAGTGCAAGTAGCTAGTTTTGTTTTAGAGTGGAAGATATATGGTGGTGGCTATTGGTTTTGAGTGGGGAAAGGAGGAGCATTTTGGTGGCTGGGGTGTGTCGAACGAGGTTTTCGGTGGAAGAGGTTTCGGTGGCTAGAGAAGTGTCAAAAGGGGTTCGAAGGGGTGGGAATTCGATGGCTGCAGTGGCAGTGGTGGTTGCGAGGGTTGCTCGGTGCGAATTCATAGTTGATGTAATTGGAGTTGTACTGTAAGGCAAGGCGGACCTGGGGTGGTTTTTGGGGAGGGGGAAGGGTGGGTTTCGCCGGTTTTGGTGGGCAGGGGTACCGTCGACTTGAGTTAGGCTGTCGGAGGTGGGGCATAGGTGGTGGAATTGGGCTGTGTTTGGTTGTTTAGATTTTTTTTAATTTTTCTTTTTTTAATTATTTTTTTGTTAAACCAATAGGTTAGTGACATGTGTTTATTTGCCCCACTAATGGATTCTTTGATGGGATTTAATCAATTTTTTGTGTTTTTTTTGTGGTGTCATAATAATTTTTATTTTTTTTTTGGTGTTATAATCAAAATTGTGTCTTTTTAGTGGTGTTATTTTCTAAAAATACCTTTTAACAAATAGGAGAAGATGCTAAAAAAGAAAGTAATACACTCTATCTATATATATACTAAAATAACAACTGCTGATGTCACATTGCCTACATGTCACTTATTTATTTAATTTTTTCCCTCCAAAATGCAAGGATGATTTCATATTTTTTTTTCCTTTTTAAGGACCCTATTTAATATAGCTTTGAAAATATTTTCCATTTGATTTTTTAAATTTTAAATTTTTATTTTTCTACACATATTATGTTATTTAGTTATTTACAAGTTGTTAACAATAGTTAATAATACGAGTATAATTAAATTGAAATTTTTTAATTAAATATGATAATTATGCACTTTCGGGAATAGTATATTCATATTTAATTAGAAATTAGTTAGGAAAATGAGGAAGTTATTTTCTTTCAGTACGTGTTAAAAGTCTATGATTCATTCTTATTTTAAAATCGTGCATCGCAAGGGGTTAATCTAGTAAAAAAAATATAAGGAGTACATTTTAAGGTGGAAAAAATAAATAATATGGTGGGTTTTGGGCCAAAGACCCCCATGGCCGATTAAAAAAAATGATAGTAAGCATTACAATAAGAAGGACGAAAGATGTATGAGATCAAATAATGTTTTATTTAACAGAATTTAAAATAAAAAATAAATAAATAAATAAATAAAACCAGTTAGTTATATGTTTGGAGACATGATTACATTCAAGGAAGCATTTAGCATTATAAGGTCGTGTTCTATGTCTAAGTTCTAATAAATTAGATAAATTCAATAAGTTCTAATAATAAGCTAAATAAGGTTTGATAATTCATTAAGAATTAATAAGGTCCAATTATATATAAGTTCAATCATGTTTAATAAGTTACAATAAGTTCAATCTTAATAATAAACTAGTTTTTTCCTGGTGCTACGCACCGTTATATAATAATAAGACTTGCAAATCATAAAATTAAAGTCAGTTAATTTAATGAATTAGTTATATAGCTTTTTTTAAAAAAAGTTTGAATTCATTTAATGTCTGCCTTAAAATTCTTTTTAAACTACCTTTGTTAAATGTTACTCCTTCCATCCCTTAATACAATGCCTCAATCTCTTTATTATGTGAGGAATAAATACTCAAAAGAGGCATTGTATTAAGGGACGGAGGGAGTATGTGCAACTTTAGAATATTTTATACTCCGTATCTCACAAATAATATCCCAAAGTTGCACATAAATCACTACAAGAAAACAGCAAAATTGCAACGCAAAAAGTTCGTCGGAACTTATGCCATATCAGTCGGAAAGAAGGGTTCCGACGAAATTCCGACGGAACCGGTCATCGAAAAACCCTTTGTAGGAAATTGGTCATATTCCGACGGAATTTCCGCCGTAAACCTTCCTTCCGACGGAAATAACATCGTCGGACTTGAATTTAGCCTTAACTGATGATTCGTCGCAATTTTTCGACGAAAAAAGATCCGTCGTAAACTAAAAATTCCGATGGAAAAATCCGTCGCAAACTATAATTTACGACAGAATTTTCTATCGGGAAATATAATTTACGACGGAATTTTCTGTCGGAATCGGAATTTTCAGTTCCAGCCCGCCATAAATTTCTGTAAAAATATGCATTTCCAAACCTGAATTTTTTTTTATAATAAATCGACAAAAAAAAAAGCATTTCAAAACCTGAAATTGTTGTTTTAAAAAAATTAATTACCGACCTACGAAATTATATTCATTTACATATAAATATAGTAATTATGTTCTAGTACAAAAGATAGTCCATATTTTGGTATCTATACCAAACAAAAGCTATGTTAGAGTGGATATTTGCTAGACTAAAGCTAAGCTACGCAATCACCTGGGTACCCTGACCTGCTCCACCACTGCCCGGGTCATCCCTTGGGTCTCGATGCTGAGGATGAATGGTGGAACATGAGTCGTTGTTGGTGAAACGACTCATCATCTCATCCATACTCTCCCGGTATCTCCTCTCTATTTCAGCCATTCGGGAGTCAATTCGCCTTTGCATCTCGGCTTCCATTTGAGTTTGGAGAGCTTGCACCCTGTGTTCCATCTGGTCTTGCATCTGAGAAATGACAGACGACGTGTATTTCTGTGAAGAACGGGAAGCTCGACCCATCCGGTTGCCATAGTAGAGCTCTGCACTTTGGCCAAGCCCCTTCACACGACCCTTATTATTGCGCCCACCCACCGTCTCCCAGTACAACTCATTGGGACTCTTCTGAATCCCCTGACTCCTTGTTTCTTTGAGCTTCTTCTGGTAGGTCTCCTACAAAATATTGAAGATAATAAAAAAAATTGTTAAAAAAACAACCAACAACATAAGGTAAGGTTTCTTATTCTTGATTATTCAGTTGCATACTTGGCCTATATGGCTTAAATTTCAGGTGCCTATGGATAGAAATTAAGAAAAATAAGCACAAAAGTCACTTTACGACCCTTATTCATCCAAACGCAAGCAAATTTGGCCTATATGGCTAAAACCGTGCCTATTTTCTATGTTTTCAATTAAATGGACTCGTTCTTTCTTCTAACATTCCAATATCACATACTTTTAGGTGCCTAAGGATAGAAATTAAGAGAAATAAGCACATATGTAAATTATCGACCGTTACTCATCCAAAATCATCCAAATTTGGCCTATATGGCTAAAACCATGCCTATTTTCTATGTTTTCAAACCAATGGACTCGTTCTTTCTTCTAACATTCCAATATAAATTGCTTTTAGGTTCCTAAGGATAGAAATTAAGATAAATAAGCACAAAAGTCACTTATCGACCCTTATTCATCCAAAATCATCCAAATTTGGCCTATATGGCTAAAACCATGCCTATTTTCTATGTTTTCAATCAAATGGAATCGTTCTTTCTTCTAACATTCCAATATCAATTGCTTTTATGTTCCTAAGGATATAAATTAAGAGAAATAAGCACAAAAGTCACTTATCGACCCTTAGTCATCCAAAATCATCCAAATTTGGCCTATATGGCTAAAACCATGCCTATTTTCTATGTTTTCAATCAAATGGACTCGTTATTTCTTCTAATATTCCGATATCACATAATTTTAGGTTCCTAAGTATATAAATTAAGAGAAATAAGCACATATGTCAATTATCGACCCTTACTCATCCAAAATCATCCAAATTTGGCCTATATGGCTAAAACCGTGCCTATTTTCTATGTTTTCAATCAAATGGACTCGTTATTTCTTCTAAAATTCCAATATCACATATTTTTAGGTGCCTAAGGATAGAAATTAAGATAAATAATCACATATGTCAATTATCGACCCTTACTCATCCAAAATCATCCAAATTTGGCCTATATGGCTAAAACCGTGCCTATTTTCTATGTTTTCAATCAAATGGACTCGTTCTTTCTTCTAATATTCCAATATCACATAATTTTAGGTGCCTAAGGATATAAATTAAGAGAAATAAACACATATGTCAATTATCGACCCTTACTCATCCAAAATCATCCAAATTTGGCCTATATGGCTAAAACCGTGCCTATTTTCTATGTTTTCAATCAAATGGACTCGTTCTTTCTTCTAACATTCCAATATCACATACTTTTAGGTTCCTAAGGATAGAAATTAATATAAATAAGCACATATGTCAATTATCGACCCTTACTCATCCAAAATCATCCAAATTTGGCCTATATGGCTAAAACCGTGCCTATTTTCTATGTTTTTAATCAAATGGACTCGTTCTTTCTTCTAAAATTCCAATATCACATAATTTTAGGTTACTAAGGATAGAAATTAATATAAATAAGCACATATGTCAATTATCGACCCTTACTCATCCAAAATCATCCAAATTTGGCCTATATGGCTAAAACCGTGCCTATTTTCTATGTTTTCAATCAAATGGACTCGTTCTTTCTTCTAAAATTCCAATATCACATACTTTTAGGTTCCTAAGGATATAAATTAAGAGAAATAAGCACATATGTCAATTATCGACCCTTACTCATCCAAAATCATCCAAATTTGGCCTATATGGCTAAAACTGTGCCTATTTTCTATGTTTTCAATCAAATGGACTCGTTCTTTCTTCTAACATTCCAATATCACATACTTTTAGGTGCCTAAGGATAGAAATTAAGAGAAATAAGCACATATGTCAATTATCGACCCTTACTAATCCAAAATCATCCAAATTTGGCCTATATGGCTAAAATCGTGCCTATTTTCTATGTTTTTAATCAAATGGACTCGTTCTTTCTTCTAACATTCCAATATTACATAATTTTAGGTACATAAGGATAGAAATTAAGAGAAATAAGCACATATGTCAATTATCGACCCTTACTCATCCAAAATCATCCAAATAAGCATATAATGAGTTCTACTTTGCTAATTTGCCGTATATCAAGTCATATAATAAGTTTTTACCGCAATCCTTTTTGCTTTGGTGTTGGCAGCCACTTGGCCTTTTCCAGGCACTTCCTTGAAGTGTGTCTTCAAGAAAAGATCATGGGCATTTGGTAATTGGCCTTCGTTTTGTGCAGCCTTTATATATACATGTAGAAAATCAATGAAAACATGTTAGCCCACCAAAATTCATTAATACACAAATGACTTAATTGTTACTGGACATATTTTAGGAACCTTACCATCCTTTTAGAATGTTGTACAGATGACATTGAACCTTAAAAGTGGGTCGGTTTAACGACATTTTCCATGGATCCGCCTCTTCGGTTCTTCTTGTTTTGTTCCGACCGCTTCTTATAATCTGGATTAGTGGCAACAATTCGCATCATGCGTTCGTGGACATCCTTATTAAGCCATTTTGGTCTGCCACCATTCATCCTGTGTGTGATGTGGTAGAACGTGTCATGTAGGCGATTTGCAAACTTGTATTCGAAAGTGTCCTTCACATGGTCGTTTAACTCAGGTGCCCACTTAAATTTTTTCTGCAAAAAAAGAAAATGTCTTTATTACAAAATTCAACTCCATCAATATACTTTATAAAACATGTATTATGTTAGGTTAAAGTTATCATACGCTGAACAAATTCCAAAAGTGCTCTCTCGAATCTTCATCAACCTCTCCATAATTCTTCCAAGGCTCAACATAGTAGCCGGTTAGCGTGTCGGAGAGCACATTCTTCACCGGCTTATCATCAAACCTATAATAAAGGATAGACATTCATGTAAGTAGATAATCAACAAAAAGTGAACAAAACATGGTAAAAGTAATACAAATTCAGTTTATCAAAATAAATACGAATTTAAGGATATTTCATTACAAATACATACGCACCAAAGTGTGGAAGGGTCCAACTCCAGCAAGTCATTAGGTTGCGGGTCCTGTAGCTCCTGTTCCTGTTGCTCCTGTTGCCCCTGTACATGCCTATGAATCTGTCTCCGATTGATGATTTCTTGAGAGGCCCCCAAATCATGTGCCTCCTCTTCCTCTATTGACTCATCCTCGTCATCACGTACAACCTGAGATTTCCTCTTAGTTTTTCTCCTCTTGGACGTTTCTCCTTTATTTCCTCTTCCCATGATGACCACCTGAAAAAGTTGTTAGTACCATGATCGCACATTGTAATTTCATAAATTAGATCCATGACATTAAAAAATAAAATGAGACCAAAATTGTAATGCAATATTACAAGTTCGAGTAGTCATTAAAAACTAAACATTCGAAGACAATAGTTAAAGGAGTAACTACATATTCTCCTCTTCATTACTCTTATCACTACTACCACTATCATTATCACTCATTATTACTATCACTAGTGTCATCTAAAAAATACATCGATGTCCTCTTCTTCGTCACTATCACTGGATCCAATGCTTTCTTCTTCTTCTTCTTCTTCATCGCTTGAGATAATAAAGCCATCGTCATCATCATCATCACTATCAAGTTCATGGTCTGGAATGTTAGTTGGTGGACAAAGCGTTGCATATACTTGTGGTGAAGGACCCTGAAAAATTCTAAATCCACTGGAGCATCAATCACCGACCTTGCTTGAGTTCTAAATACAGCCCACCATTGAACCCAATCACGTTTAAGGCTAGGGTAAGATGCATAATACACTTGAGACACTTGGTAAGATAAGACAAATGGATCATACTTGGGATATTTCTTAGTATGATTTACTTCGACAAGCATGTATTGTTCATGAATGTTCATTCCTTTACCACAATCCATCCAATTACAACTAAACAAAATAGTCTTGTACTCATTTTCGGGACCGGTGTAGACAAGTTCAATTATGTCGTTTAAAATGCCAAAGTACTCTCCACCGTCCTCACTTGAGACACACACCCCATAATTCATCGTAGATTTGTGTTTGCCATAGGATTGTGTGTGGAAATTAAAGCCACCGACAAATATCTGGTTCCAAGTTCGAACACGCTTGAAAGGCCTCATAGACAATGCTCCCAACACATCGGAACTTGGTTTCTGTTCTCTCACCTATAACCGTTACGAATACAAATGTCACACTAATTGAAATGAAATATATTGTATTATCACAAGTTAATCGATATGCAATGTTCGAAAAGTATTATCACCTTGTGATGAAACCAATCAGGGAATTCACTTTCGCATTTCTCCATGACATCTTTTCGACGCAAATAAGTTCGAGTACTAAGAATGTAGTCCTCAAACTGCCTAATAGATTAATGACACATGGTTAATCATTACAGCAATTATATTAAATTTAAGGGTTTTTCAAAAGTTTATCCTAAACATATATACCTTTCGTATTCACCAAGAATGCCGGTATTTCTTAAAACGAACAAATGAGCACGTTCGAGTTCCTTGTCATCTAAATACCGAGTTTTACCCAAATTTGACACACGACCCTTATCCACCATTAACAGCTCTGGGATTTCATCGTTGTCAGCCGTGGATTCCACATCAGCATTCACATTTCGACCTAGATCTCGTGTTTTTGTGTCAACTGAGGGCTGAAAGTAATTGGAGCAGAAGTTTGATATCTCTTCAGTGAGATAAGCGTTTCATATGGAACCTTCAACACGAGCCTTGTTACCAATTTTTCGTTTCAGGTGATTGAGGAACCTGTAATTATTTTTATATAGTCGTATAAGTATAAGTAACGAAAAGCAATGAAAGAGATGAAAGTAAGAGTTGAGAAGGGGCCTTTGATTTACCTTTCGAAAGGATACATCCACCGATATTGAACAGGTCCACATAACTTGCCCTCATATGGCAAATGAATTGGTAAATTCTCCATGGAGTTGAAGAAAGATGGAGGGAAAACCTTCTCAAGCTTGCACAGGATCTCAGCTATGTTTTTTTCCAATCGCTCCATGTCGCTAACTGTAATTGTGTAGCAACATAAATCGCGAAAGAATTGGCTTATCTCTGTAATTGCATTCCATATATGGGTAGGGAGCAATTCTCTCAAAGTAGTGGGCAACAACCTCTCCATGAACACGTGACAATCATGGCTTTTCATTCCATGTAACTTACCTGATTGCAAATCAACGCATCTGCTCAAATTGGAAGCGTAATCATCAGGAAACCGCAGTTGTTTGACCCACTCACACAAAACCTTTCTCTTAGCCTTGTCAAGAGCAAATGGAGCCTTTGGCATGAATTCTTTTCCTCTATCATCCTCTTGAAGATGTAGCTGGGTCGTTTACAGTATTTGGCAATGTCATTCCGAGCTGATGGCGTGTCACAAGATAGCTTTTTTACGTCCATTATAGTGTGAATCAACTGATCAAAAATTTTTTTTTCAACGTGCATGACATCTAAGTTGTGACGAACAAGCAGATGTTTCCAATATGGAAGGTCCCACAGAGTGCTTTGCTTGAACCACCCTTTTTTTTTGCATTCTTCAGACGTTTCAGTGCCTCGGGGCCATCTGTTGCTTTCGGGAGGTTTTTCACACATTCCCAGAGTTCCTCTCTTGACATGATGTGAGGTGGTGAACCTTTTTCGACTTTGTTTTTACAAAATGCATTTTTACTATTTCGAAAAGGATGATTTGTCGGAAGGAATTGACGATGGCAATCAAACCAAGAAACCTTACCACCATTTTCGAGCCAAAATGCTTTGCTTTTCTCCATGCAATATGGACAAGCCTTCTTACCGGCTGTGGTCCAACCAGATAACATACCATAAGCCGGGAAGTCACTAACGGTCCATAGGATGGCTGCTCGAAGATTGAAATTTTGTTTTCTCGAAACATCGTAAGTATTTTCCCCAACTTCCCACAACTGTTTCAACTCGTGTATGAGCGGTTGCATGTAAACATCCAAGTTTCCCTTAGGGTTTTTAGGAACAGGAACGAGTAACGAAAGAAACATGAACTTTCTTTTCATACACATTGACGGGGCAAATTATAAGGGGTCAAAATGACAAGCCAACAAGAATATTGTCCCCCAAACTGACCATGTGGAGCAAATCCATCCGTACATAGGCCAAGTCGAACATTACGAGGTTCAGAGGCAAACTCAGGAAAGCAACTATCAAGGTGTTTCCACGCTTCACTGTCTCTAGGGTGTGCCATTATGCCTTGAACTCGAGGATTTTTAGCATGCCATGTCATTTCCTCGGAAATGTTTTTAGTTGCAAAAAGCCTTTGCAACCTAGGTGTGATAGGGAAATAAAATAGAACATTCAAAGGCACTAAGCTACCTTTAGAAGTCTTCTTGTATCGGTCGCTGCCACACACCCTACATGTAGATAATTGAGCATCATCTTTCCAAAAAAACATACATCCTTTCGGGCATGCATGAATCTTTTCATGGGGTAGCTCTAACCCCTTAACAATTTTCTTGACCTCATAGAATGTCTCGGCCATGTGGTTGTTGTTAGGAATCGCTTCATTAACCAAAGAAGCAAATCCATCAACACATCTGTGCGGCAAATTATACTCGCACTTTAGGCTAGTGATTCTAGAAGCCATCTCTAACACAGACAATGAACTCCCTTCGTATAACGGTTGTTCAGAAGCCCTTAACAAATCAAAAAATGGCTTGGCTTGTGCATTAGGCTCCTCCTCTAATGAAACAACCGCCTCTTCGGAATGCCCTTGATCTTGAGACTGACCAAATGCATCCAAAACCATTTCACGATATTCATTTGACTGCCTTCTACGATTTCTAGGAAACCCTTCCCCATGACACATCCACTCATAGTAATTATGTAAAAAACCACTGCGATACAAATGAAGCTTAACCGCATCCCAAAGACGACGTTTGTTTTTGCATTTAAAACATGGACACCTAACTTCATTCGGGTTGCTACTCTCGGGATGATCTTCCACATATGTAAGGAATTCATCTACCCCCTTCAAGAACTCAGGATTAATAGAATTCCCAACCTTCCTTACGTACATCCAACTACGTTCTTTTCGTTGCATGATTACAAGTTCTACACAACTAACACATATGCCATTAATCACATTAGTCACAAAGCACAATATATATTCATTACAGATCAAAGTGTTATGGAAATGCAAATGAGAAGAGAAATGATTTCCAAGGGTCCTTATCACTCCAACCTAACCCATCCTTGTACGTTTAATCTCACTAGTGAATGTATGACAGGATTTCAATTCTATGGAAAATCCGGCAGCATTCCCTACAGTTCTCCAAGTACACGATATAGGCGATTAGAAACACCTATATAGGTACCTAGAGAACATTATAGAGAAATGACAAGCAAGGATCTTCCTTAGAATTAAAAAAAAGGAATACATTCACCACCTAAGTGAGATTAAACGTACAAGGACAGTCCCAACCGGGGACTATTCAAGATATACTCCTAATGTGTATGCCTTGAACGGGTATCTAGGCATATGATTATGCAAATGATTTATTTAAAGATATTAAAACTAAACTAACATACAAAAAATTATACAAATATATCATAATTAAACTTAACATAAACAAACATATCATAAAACCATAACATTAATATAAACAAATTAAACCAAACAAAACCAAACTAAACTAACATATCATAATATTAAATCTAGTAACATGCATTATAAAAAATTAAACTTAAGTAAGAAACATTATATTAAACTAAACAAAACTAAACTAGATTATAATGAACTAAAGTAATCTAACATACATCATATTAAACAAAACGTACCTAAAGTTTCATAATATTAAACTAATCTAATATACTTTAGTAAAATTAAACTAAATTAAACCACATTATATTAAGATAAACTAAACTAAACTAACATACTTACAAAAAAGTAAACTAAACTAAACTAAACTAACATACTTACAAAAAAAAAGTAACTAAACTAAACTAAAACACATTATATTAGAATAAACTTAACTAAACTAAGTTATGTTAAACAAAAACCAAACCAAACTAACATACATACATTATATTAGGGTTTGTAATGTGACTAACCTTTAGATCTGCACTTCTTTTTGACAATTAAACCATCTAATTGTACAAATCCTACATATAAAATATTAAAAAAAATAATTAAATTAAATAAATAAGGGTTTATTATTAAAAAAAAATTGGGGAGTGGACAACTTACCAGAAAGAGATGAAAACTGCTACAGCCACGGCGAGGGAAGGGAGGAGGCCGGAGGCTGCGGTTGTGGTGGTCAAGGGAGGCTGCGGTTGTGGTGGTCAAGTCAGATTTGAATGTCATTAAAAAAAACGAAAACAAAAAACGAAAACAACTTACCTAGACGCGGCGCCGGCAACAACCAGCAGCGTCAATGGAGGCTCGACGGAAAACAAGTCGGCACTATAATTGGTCCAAAAAAATTCAAAAAATTAAATTAAATCAAAAAAATTAAAAACAAAATCAGAAAATAAAAAAAAATGTGAAAAAAAAATCTAAAATAAAATAAAATAAAATAAACCAGCAGCCCCCACCCCCAAAACCACCAGCCCCCCTCCCCCGGAAAAAACCATTCCCCTGCCGGAATTCCCCCATCCCAAAACTAACTTCCCCGACCCTCCGCCTCCTTTAATTGCCGGAAAACAACCCCACCGTCGCAAACCCCTCCCCTCCCTAAATCTATCCCGTAAGACCACCCTCCCCTAATTCCCCACACTCGAAAACCGGCTTGGAGAGGGGTTCGAGGGTGGGGTAAAGGAAAAGGGTGGGTTTTGAGGGCGGGGGAGGGCTGGGTGCCGAATTTCGGCGCTGCGGGAGGTGTTTACGGGGATGGGGGTGTTCTCCGGGATGGGCTGCTGGTTTAGGGTAGGGGGCTGGGTTGGGTAGAGTTGGTTTTTTTTAATTTTTTTTTAAATTAAATCAGATTTTTTAAAAACAAATATTTTTTATTTTTTGAGCCACTAACTGTGTGACACATGGTAATTTAAAAAAAATTAAAAGTTAACCTTTTCTTCAAGTAACAGATCATTTGGGTCCTATGAAAGAAAATACCCCTAAAATTTGGGATTTTATTAGAGATAACCTGCATTTGAGATTTTTAAAAGTAAAACGCCCAAAGCTGGAATTTATAAAATGAATGTTTCCTAATAATAATTGGTCTCTTAGATGCTGCATAGCAAAATTAATAGAGAACATCAATGTCTGCTGCTTTTGGTTTAAAAATCAAAGAGACTTGTTATTTATAACAACAGTTCTCTTAGATTTTCTCTCTTAAAAGAGACTGATTATGTATAGAATCTGGTCTCTTATTAGATACTCTCTTTATTAATTATCCATACATCCAATTATTTGTTTTTTTTCCCTCCAAAAAGCCCCTTATTTAAATTACTCATACTTTATAGAGTCATTAGAACCTATGGTTTAAAAGTCATAAAATAAATATATACTCATACTTTAATTAATTTTTTTTAATCATCGTAGCTTAATATTAATGAAACGAGTAGCTTAATATTCTTGAAAAAAATCTTCATTTGATGAAATTCTTGCTATTTGATAATAAGTACGAGTAACATATATATTTACTACTTTATTAAGCATATGTAGGGCTTTTTAATAATTTGATCATTGTATTGTATTGTATTGATAAAGCTAGAATAAAATTATTTTATTATTTTAAAATGAAAATTTATCTACCAAGATGAATGAGTGAAAATTAAAGGCTAATAACTGGTTTCCAACTTTTTTTTTTCCTCGTTGTTCCACGCTACCCCTACTTAGAAATCCTTAATTTGTCATATAACAATGCAAAGTTTTGAACATTAATATCTTTATTACTGTTATATATTAGTGCAAGTATTAAAAAAAAGTTGATATCAAATAGAGGAGTAACGGTGCAATACTTTTTCTCCCAAAATTACTCAATTATGCTTCTTGCATGCATGGTATGCATGCATAAATTCATACAAATCACCACAGAATAGTATCAGTCGAGTTATATCATTCAATTCATTTTTACATGCATTATGATGGCCTTTTGTCTTTTGTAAGACAATTACTTGATTGTGTTACATCATTTTCGAGCATCCTATTCCATCTTTTGCCATATACCCTTGTGATAATGAGCAAAAATAATGAGCAATCTAGGTTTTATCATTATTTTTCTTATTTGTATTTTCTCCAAAAAAAAATAAATAAAATAAATCACAATTTAGGTTTTCATCATTTTCTCCTAAGACAAATTTAAATTATATATATATTACACATCCTCCAATTGTTATACGAAGTAATTCTTATGTATCACTTGATAATGTTGATAGATCCATACCCTAAAAATAATGAGGGGAAAAAAATAAAATGCACGGATTCAAATTAGTGGTTATGTAAACTTCTCTATATAATAAGCGTAAAAGTTTTAAATACGTAGTATACTATTAGGATGCTTATTATTATGAGGAAGTAATTAAGCAAGTGCAAGCATTGCATCACGAGGGTCGACAAGAGTGAACATTTTTTTGAGCTAAATTTCTTTACTAATTAATTATTATGTAAAATGTTTATCAAAAAATAATGTGATATATATTGAATTAGTTCGTTACATACTTACATTATCTATTTTTATATAAAAAAAAAATTTGTGCCAGCACCTCTTACATATTAAACTAAAATGACTACATATATAGGTCTCCAATAACGCTTGAGAGTATAGGGGGAGGGTAAATGATTCCCTCTACTCCCGAGCAAATGTAGTTGGCATGCTTGAATTTGTCACAACCTAAGCTACCCACCAACTACACCAAGTTTTTTTTTTTTTTACATGAACTACACCAAACTTGCTTGATTATTACTTTGGTATAAATCCCGAGCCAATGATCAACAATGACTAATAGGGATATCCTATAACAAGAACGCCGTCAAAAAGCTCAAAACCGTAATGAGCTTAGCTGGAAGCCACTGTTTGTCTTAGTGTCCTATAAATGGCCCAGCTGGCAACTCACATGGCCAGCTGCTTTGTCGACAAGTGCCCCCTTTTTCCATATTTACCCTTCATTTACATCTTATTTACACTTTTATCCCACCTTAATCTTCTCCTTTAACCTTCACTTTCGGCTTTCATTATTGGTTGACCTTCATAATTAATTATTCTAAATTTCTAATCAATCTTTTTTGGAATTGTCAGGCTGAAAATAAAGAAAAAGGTTGGAGTTTCTGGCAAATTCGTACGTTACAAGAATGTATCATATGCATAACAACTCACAAGGGTATTATTGTGAATCGGGTGTTTATTTGAGGGTATTTTAGTAATTTTGGAATAGGTTGTGAATATCTGACGATGTGGGTTTCTGGCATTGCGTATATTAGGAAGTACAGGAATCTATGATGGAATGATTTAGATAGGAAGAGCTTCAAGGATTACTTTTTCAGTTTTTATTAGACCTGATCAATGGGCGGGGCGGGTTCGGGCGGGTCGAGGCATAAAAAATCAGTCTATTTCTCGAGCCAGGCCGGGTCGGGCCTAGCTTTAGGCCAAAATTTTCATGACCACACCCGCCCAAAATGGACGGGCCGTGCGAGCTTTTCGGGCCATTTTTGGGCCGAGCCAAAAAAATGAACTAAAATAGCTTTAAAATGCATTCCCAAGCCCGCCCAAAAAATAAAAAATTCGGGTCGGGCCAGAAAATACTGCCAAAACCCGCCCAAAATCGGGTCGGGCCAGCGGGCCGGGCTTGTTTTGATCAGCTCTAGTTTTTATTGGGACACCAATGTGCGAGGATTGTGGAGGGAGATGATTGTATTTTCATGACATTTATTTTTAAGGAGTTACTCGTATAGTCGTATTAAACATTGAGGTGATCCATCATGACTCGGCTTGTCCATTCGGCCTTGATAATAGGGTTGATTTGGGTAAGTGAAAAAATACTTTTAAATATAAAAATCCGAACTCGAAAAATTTGAGAAGTCCGTTTTGGTCCGGTAATCTCGTCATTTTTTTTATAGGTTTGGGCATGACATTTAATTTTAAGGCACAGTCACCCTTAGATTTTTTTTATCATATCTAGTTAAAGACAAGATATAGTTCCTAAAGTTCAGTATTTGTTTCATTTTATTTCCTTACTATAACTTTCAAGTGGGGCATTTTAGTCACTCTATCAACACTCGAAAATAGTTCCAATTATATTTTATTGGAGTAAATAGTTTGTTGGCTAAGCAAAGTTTAGAGACCTTACTGCTGATGTGTCATTTTTTTCCAATTAAATACTAAAGTTTTAGCGATCTTGCCCTCGTGATATGGTAATTAATAAAAATAGTAGTGAAAGTTTAAAGACATATATAGGGTTAGATGGTAAATTAAATCATTACATACAAAGTTTAGGGATTGACAAGTGACAATTACACAGGCCCGTTTAATGACCATTCAAAACCTTTGGTTATTAATTTGTTCTTCATTTTAACATTTCTTTCGATTTTCAATTTTTGTACTAGATATTGTTAATTTTACCGATATTATATTATTTCATTGATTTTTAAAATATTGAATTTTCCTCATGCTGAAGAACAAAGTCAAATTCAATCCTGAAACGATTTAATAATCAAAATACTATTACCACTGGCTTGCTCGCATTTGGCGTCAGAGTTACCTTTTGTACAGATCGTCGGGAACAAGGAAATCAAGTTTCGTCACTGCCACGGCAAAGAGTTTTTCGTATGACGTCTACGATCGGTAATGGTGGATATTGAAATATTGAATAGGGTGGTGATTTCTTTTTGTGAAGAGCAGGTGATAATGCGTACCATGATAGTGATGGAGGGTAATGACAAGACAATTTTAATGTAGGGTTGATGTCCAAATTTATTTTCCTTTGTGTGAGTTTAATAATTTAAAAAATTTGACAAGTAATTATTTAAGTGTGAGAGAACATAAATTGTTTTCTCAAGTAGAGGAGATGTTTAACGTTTTGAACGGATTGAGTATAAAGGTCGGATTATTTAAAAATATTCCAAAGGTGTGATACATTATTTTTCGCAGATGCCCCAAATGTGGGATTATTTCCAACAATTTTTCCTATCTTATTTTCTATCACGGACAATTATGAAAATACATTTAATGCACTTTATTGGTGTGAAATTTTTACATGTGGATACCAACTTTGAAGAGTAATTAAAGAATTTTAGTTTTAGAAAGTATAAAGAGTGGGGTATTAAAGTAATTTCCATGAAATTAAAAAAAAAAGCAAAACATTTTGGGTCACCAGATAAGAACTACGGGCAGGTAATAAAGGGATAGAGGAAGTAGTACCTACAAATGGGCACGGGTCGTGCCGACACGAGGGCGGCACGGGCCCGACACGACTCCGGCACGACGGCCCACTTGTGGGCCGTGGGCCGTGCCGTGAACAAAAAATATAAATTCGGCAAGGGCACGGCGGGCGGCACGGTCGTCGACCGCCTCGTGGCACGGCCCATGCCCAATTATATTAAAACTTATTTAAACAAGTTTATTTATATAAACTTATTTAATTAAGTTTATACAAATAACTTATGTTTAAGTTTATATATAAACTTAAACATAAATTATTTATATAAACTTAATTAAATTAAAGTTGTTCAAAAAAAATGTATTAAATTAACATAACATAAAAAAAATAAAATTATTTATATAAACTTAAGTTGTTATACATATATATATATATATTAGTGCTTTCTTCTATTACATGTGTCAATTCTCCGTCTCCTAATACAAAGCCTCATTTCTTTTTTGGGTAAACCAGAATACAATGTCTCTTTTTATTTAAAAGTTGTATATTTTGACATTATAACCCTCTTTTTAATGAGTTGTCGTCTTTTTCCTTTACTTTTTTGTACTTTTAACATCAATTTCCAACACTTTATCTCTCTATCTCTTTAATTATTCCCAACTACCTTGTCTTTCTCTCTATCTCTCTCTAACCCACATGCACATATGTACTTTTAATCATTAGTTTTAAAGAATTTACAACTTTCTTAATTTCCGCCCAAAAACCAAAAGAGACTTTGTATTAGGAGACGGATGAAGTACTTTTTAACTTGTATATAATTATGCACAATAAATCTATTATAAAAATGTTCCTATGTAAGTATGTATGTTATTACCCCGTTAGTG